AACTGGTGGCGCGCGGCGGCGGTGCGCCCGTTCGCCACTACTTTTGGACCACCTACCGCGCGAGAACGGCGTATCCTCTCATGTCCTGTCGAGGACCCGCCGTGAGGAGGTCCAGCTTTTTATACCGTTACTCACTTCTTTCGCAGAATCCGGCGGAGATTATAAAGAGAGCCTCGAGACACGTAGGAGAATCTTGTTTCGGTTTAAAGTACCTATCTCTTTTTCACCTTCAACAAAGCCGTGGGAAAGTGCAGAAAAGTGACTCATAAAAAACAAATTTTAACCGGAATGCTTCAAAAGAAAACTTGGTGGCTATTTTCCTTTCAGCTGAACATTTTTCTTCTGCTTAGAGGACAGCTTAGAATGTTACCCAGAATGCCTCTTTATTAGATAAGCGCTCACCGGAGATAACATGCATCTGTTGTTGTTTTTGTAAGTTTCTCATGAAATGCAATATTTTATTTCAGAAATAATATATTGCCGATCATAAATAACTAATATTATTTCAGAAATTCGATCTTGCGTTCAAAGCAATTTCATATTTTTCATAATAAAAAAAGAAATCTTGTTTATATGAAAAACATAAGATTGCTTTGAACGCAAGATCGAATTTTTTAAATAATATTAGTTGCCGATCTCAAAATATCAATCCGCGACTAACAATAGTATACGACATTAACATATTTGTCATTATTATTTTATAAACATATTAATATCGTAATAATGTAGTTCGATAGAACTCTAAAGTTAATAATGTACAATTTTTCTATTTTGGCGTAATTGCTCTTTTAAAAGTTATCTCTAGTTTTCACTTTATTATATCGTATAATCTTAGTCAGATGCAAACTGAACAAAATTTATGAAGCGTAAGAATCTTTATCGGAAAAGAATTTCTTAAGAGATATCTCTTCATGAGATATATAATTTTCGCACCACATTTCATTTCAGAATACTTATTTTTACACTTATTTTTCCTGCTTTCAATAAAGCAAAACAAATAGAAAAAAAAAACAAAAGGAAACAATATGATGTTTGGTGCGATTACCTACCGCGCTCACGTGATAAGACTTATCTTACATTAAGTCAAACAAAAAAACATGTCCTTGATATTCTTGGACTTCAGTTTTCATATCTAAAATAGTCATTTGGTAAAAAAATTCTTTTGTGAACATTTGATTACTGTTTTATCACTGCTTTATTACTTACAGGAAAGAAATTCTCGCAGTAAAATTCTTAAATGAATTAGTCAGAAATAACTTTATGTTGTATTTGGTACTTTCGATTGTATGCTCGTTAATTCTGTTCAATTTTTAACTAAATTCTTTATTTATTTACAATTAAAACAATTAAAATAACTCAATTGTCAAAATATTGACTGTTGTTTTCTATAAGTTTACGACATCTATCAGACAGATTTAGTCATGAAAAATGACTGTGATTTCGAAAGGATAAAGTTTAAGGTTAGCAGACAGAATTGATTGGCACACCTAATATTCGTCAGCTAGTTTTGATTGATGAATGAATTCTTTTTTGTTTCTACTTAGCCAAAATTTTGTTTCGCTATTTATGTAGCCACATGTAGAAAATAATATAACTCGATAATTATATTTTAATCTAACTTATATGAAAATAATGTTAGACAGAATCGTGATACAATATGATTATCGTTAATTCTCCGGCCTCTCTCTTTTAACGAATCACTTAAATCTACAGTTCCGACACTGTCTCAGAGAATGAGACCGTCTTTTCGTCAAGTGTGCGACAAGTATTCGATACTAGAGTACCGACGAGCGCCGTCGCTAACCGCCGCCTTCAAGAATGGACATACGGAATTACGGAGTCGTCCATCGTGCAACCTCTCATTTCCCTCCTACTGCAATCAACGGCATTTAAGCCTGGCTTTCGAGCGTTTAAGCATTTAGCCGCTTCCGCCATATCTCGCGGTTGTCTTGTACCGGGCATACTTTTTTCGCGGAACCCGAATGGCTCTCCCGCATTTGGTTCCTAGAAGAACGGACGCGGCGATGCACGCTGACATGTCGTCGCATGCCGCCGTCAGATCTTCATCTGTACATCCAATCAACGACTTAGAAAATTCCGGTATTAATAATGAGTTACGACTTAAGCTCGTAAAAAATTCAAAATAATTAGTTCGATAAGTAGAATCGATATAGCGATTAAGTAGAATCGATAGCGCGATTAAGTAGAATCGATAGCGCGAAATAATTGCAGCATATACTTTTCAATACAGTTAAAAACTTAATAACACATAATGGAAATGCTTATCATTAAGACAGACACCGTTGACACAGCTTGAAAATTTCAGATAAAAAAAAAACTCAAAAATATTTTGTACATCATTGCACATAAAATATCAGTTTATTAATGTTTTTCCAATAATTATGAAAAAAATAAGATACATGTGTATCGAAAAAATTTAGAATTTTTTATTTCAAAATAATATAATCAATATTTTAAATTTATATATAATTTTCAAATTTAGTATAAAAAATTCATCTTTACGATTGAATTATACGAATTTCCAAATTTCCTGTTTCCACAAATTTAGTATAACTTTAAAAAATTAAAGCATACTTTTGTAAAAGAGTCGTGTCAGTTTGTGTAGTAGATAATGTATGACTTAATCAGAAAACGTTTACTTCATAAGAGCGTTCTATAAAACATCCGATATTGGAATCCGATATTTCATATCTAGCTACTCAATATAAGGCAAAAGTCTCATATGTCTCGCGAGCTGCTTATATGTCTACATTATGTATCGCGATATCAATATCTTTCGAGTGAAAACCTGAATCCGCTTAGCTTCGCGAGTTCAACCACGCAGCCGCTTCGTGCGATCGCTCCCCTTTCGATATTGCGATACGCAATCGTCGATCCACGCGCGTGTTCTTTTCCTCGTGGAAATCGCCTTCTTACCGGCGACGTTGAATAATCTCACACCTGGCTCCGCGAGCCGAAGCGGGAAAGGTCAGCCGGATATCTGCGCGAGTTTCGGAATGCATCGTGAATGATTATCGCCTCGCTCGCCTCGCGATTCGATCTCGCTATCGGGAGATTGCGGCGATTTCTTTTTCGCAATCCACACAGCGATAAACGGGCATAACAAATGTTGTGAATTTGTCGGCCATTCCAAATGTCACGATCCTTCAATTTCGCACTTGCCGTGACGAGGAAAATTTAAGCGAGAAAGGTCAGCCGGATATCTATAGATTTCGATATGCATCGAGAAGAATCGCTGCGTTGTTAGTTAGGCGGAACTTTATACCGTCAATATTGTGAAACGCTTACTAGAAATTACTCGCGCGATTATGCAGTCGAATAAAAATGTTTATTTACTTAACACCTTACGCGTGAGCAAAATATACATGTGTGCCGTCAGCAGACTTGTATTTTCTGTACGTCACGGCAATTTACACAGCATTTATCACTTAACGTTATACCATTATAATAAGTACGTTTTTAATAATTGTTAATTTATACAAAAAAGAATACATTTAATTCATGTTTGTATAAACATTTTAAAAATTAATATTTGCATTTATTGCACTATTATTTTTCTTCTCAACTCGCAAAAGTATTTCATTATTTCTGTTTATCAGTTTATTGCTAATAAATGAATTTCTTAATAATTTGAACTAATAACTCAAATAATTAATTATCTTTTTGTAGCAAACTAATGATGTCTATATCTTTACAGTTTTACATTCTGAATATAAAATACTTCATCTCTCTTGGCCGTGAAATATTTTTAACCTTCTAACGTTCTCATAAGTTTGTTATTGCGTTAAATATAATCGAGTTCTGCGCGAACCATCGAGTTTTATTTACACACATTGTATGAATGAAGTGTTTATCCATCACAGATGGTAATAATGAATTGTACAGCCTTGGAATAAAAATGCGATTATGCCTGCCAACGCGCATCCTCGCATAGAAACGGGATGAGTTATGATCGATAACAACGGTGAGATCGAGAGATGAGAAATGAGCAAGCTAAATTCCAGCTAAAGCGATGTTGATGATCGAGTGCTTTCAAGGGTTTCGCAACGTGCACACTCGATCCAAGCGCATACGCAAACTTCGCGAGCTTCCTCTTACGCAACGTGCGATTCCCGAGCTGGATTTTTCTACGCACTCAAATTCTTTGCGCGTTTCTTTCCCGCAACGCAAAAAAAAAAACCTAAGGCGCTGGGTAATACTCCGAATGCAACCTGCACTCATCTGCATTCCGTTGCTGACGGCGCGCACAAACGCACGAGCGTGAATACCAACGTAAACGCGGCCTACGGAATTCACAACCCCGCCTCGATTATTCCAATGGCAGACCCACGCAATTTATCTGTGACAAAACGCGAGATAATACGCGTAAAATCGTTACATAGTGCAAAATAATTTGGAGCAATGCAAAATGAAAATCGCTATGTTCATTGGTAGAATGTATGGTGTCGTAATAAAAATTGCAAAATCAAGAAAACCTAAAAATAATGTCAACAAGTATAGTCTTAGATATTTATTTTTGTCTCATTTGCTCATTAAATATTGAAAGTTTTCTTTAAAACACAATTTTGTGATCTACGAATCGGTGTCATGCTTCCAGAAATTTCCAAGAATAACACTTTCGGATCAACTCGTCAAAATCGATACTGCGCCCACTAAAGAGTGCTATTATTAACAGTTGGCTAACCGGAATTAATTTAATCACAGTTGCAATTTAATATTTGATAAAGTGAAAGACAGCGTTTATTTTAGATACGCAGAATATTCAGTCGATATGCAAAAACAAGTTGAGCCGGCTTTAAATCGTTAATCCCCGCGGAGTTTCGATTGCAAAATACGACAGAGATAAATCCTCGCGATCGGACGAAGCATTAGCATACGCGATTTATGTTATTGACAAAAAATTCGCTACTTTCGCGCGCATAGGGGACAACGAGTTTGTTAATAATCTGATATACTGTTTAGATTATATTCTTACACATTAAGAATTCTTAATATTCATTAAGAATTATTGAAAATGTTCGTCTTTCATTAAAAAGTTCTAATATCCAAAACCGTTTTCAATTCATTCAATTTTCACATAAAATAAAATCGAACTAGTCGAAATTTCCTTTGAAAATAACTACGGATCGCATATCAACATGAAAGTAATTGCATTTTTGATTTGCACTATTCAAATGATAATTGCATCTGAATTAATTGCAATCCGAATCGTGTCAAAGGAAAATTGTTAATATTTGATTAAAGCTAAAACATAGCAAACTAAAACAGAGTTATCATGTTGATAAATAATATATATGCTCTTTCGCATTTTTAATTGGTAATCATCATTTATTTTATCTGTACCGGAAATTGATTACGGCCAGCTGTATAAACAGATTAATAGAGATAAGTGTCTGCTTATAGATAAATAGATATAATATCAACGTTCTAGATCTAAAGGATCCGTCAAGCTTTGTTCTCAGAAGCCGAAGGAACTTCCGTTGCACCCAGCGGCTAAGAGATTTATCACGCAGGACCATCCACGAAGAGAGATTCGTCCCCGAGGATTTCGGAGTTGGTCCCGATCGACCGGCGGCGTCGATCGAGAAGCGGCGATAGCCCGGAGCTCTCGGCTCACCCGTTACTCGTCCAGCACGCTCCGCAGGAGAGAACTGGGGAGAAGGAGAAGAGGGTCGAAGAATAAGGGGAGAGGGGGAGAGAGAGAGAGAGAGAGAGAGGCTGAGAGACGCGGTGAGATTGTGCGACGCACAGCACGTACACACACGCGCAGGTAAAACAAAAAGTCGGGAAAAAATTGAAAACCAGTCTTATGCAGTCGGTAGTCCGGACTACCCGACCGTCAGCGGACTCGTTCTCTCTCTCTCTCTCTCTTTCTCTCTTTTTCTCTCCAACTCCCCCTCGTCCTCCGTTCCTCCCGCTCTCCTTGTCACTCGATCTCTTTCTCGCACGGCGCGCTCTCTCGCGCTCTTCTCTTCTCCATCTCCATCTCGGAGAGATCCGCGACGGTACAACCACCACCACCATCATCAGCAGCGGCGAGCGCTACCACCTCCTTTTCCTCCTCCTCTTCCTCCGCCACCTCCACCGCCTCCTCCTCCTTCCGCTTCTCCGCGGTCCTCGCGGTCCACGCTCTTCCTTAATTCAGTCCAATGAGAGCCGCTCTTTGATTCGTCACACCCGCCGACAAATCTCTCTCTATTCCATCTGTTCTCTTCTTTCTCTGTTTCTCCTTCTCTCTCTCTCTCTCTCTATTTGCCTCTCTCTCTCTCTCT